TGAGGACTGCAGGACAGACTGACCAGGCATGGGGTAGGGTAGCAAGCTATGCTAATGAGAACTAACGTGAGCCCAAGTTAACAGGGAGGACCATTGGGCCTGTCTGAGCTGAGAGATGACAGGTCATTAGTTCCTAGCTGTAGACCAGATATATGAATGATGACAAGGGCAAGGGACAATTAACACTCCCACCAAATATGCCAATGAAAAGCTAGGGATATATAGTCATTATGGGATGGAAAATAATAGTCTCTTTTTTTTAGTATGGAATAGATATTCCTTCTGTGCTGTTGGGGGAAAGCCTAGAACTCTGATTATTTTTGTCAAACTCATTTTGGATAGGATAAAATGGGTACATTGGTTATTTTGTGTCCCCTCGAGGGTTCACTTATCACATGAACTTCCTGTGCACTGAAATGTGGTTTACAGGTACTGAGATACTTTTCCAAAGAACTTCTTTCTCTTCTGCCTCTGCATTACATGAAGGTTTCTTAGAAATATAACGTGTCATTAGTCTGTGTTTACATTTTTTATTCTGATAAATTGTTGAACTTGTTAAATATATTAAAATTTACCGTGTTTAAACGTAGAACCAAAAAGTAAATTGCCTAGCGTATACATGATAGTTACCAGTGTTCAATCCAAGAAATGAACAGTTTTCCTTCTCGCTGTGACCAGACCACATGGCCTGTTTCTAGTGTTGAAATCCTATGTGGCGTCTAGGTCCTCTGGCCACATTGACTAAGCAACCGAAACATGAACCATCCATATTCAGAGTAACAATCAAAATTACTTGTTCATCACATTTTGATGGACATGACATATCTATTGAGAATGCTCACTCGCTCATACTGTCTAGTTTTCCTGAGACATCACCAATATCCGTAGACGTTTAGAGACATGGTTAATTCTTACAATTAAAGTAGCTGAGGCAGAGAGGGATGCAAAGGAATTTGCCTGAAGTAGTGGTGGAGTTAGAATTTATTAATAATTCAGCTGCTTGCTGTTAGTGAACCTGTTTTTTATGAAGATGGTATCCATCATCACTTTACTTTCATGCCTGTGGGATTAAGTAGTCTACCTATGTAATTAGTGGGCCTATTATCACGCTGCAGTTCAGAAATGACATTTTACCACCAAGGACCTGGCATAAGGTATTTGGTTCAGTTGATTATATATTTTGAAAGCCCCTTTGCTGTACCATCATCTATTTGAAATGAGATTCTGCACTTTTCCCAGAGGACCAAAATATATCGATGTGTGTATTCATGTAATATATATTCTTTCAGTTACCATTGTCCAGGAACAAAGCTATTTAATCAACTTGATTGCTCTCAGGTAGTAATAAAAATGAATTTTTCATAGATTAACATTTTAAACACTCACTATTATCAAGAAAAACATAATCAAGCTGACTGGATTCTTCTACACAAATAAACATGAATTTTCTACAAGATGAAGGTGCATGAAAGAGTGACATCCTCTTGACAAATGAATTGTTACTGTCATAATTAAAATTTTGTCAGAAGTTGTACAAGAACAATCTAGAATTAGCATGACCTTAGTTTTTGAAGTATGGTTAACTTCAATATTATAGAGCATTATATTCTTCTTTTTACACCTTTGTTATAGTTACGAGAAAATGGAAATTCATAATGCTTTAAGTTCCATTTTACAATAGTTAAATTTATATGGTACATCACTTTTTTATATAATATAAAAATTATATTTTTATATTTAATTATACAAATATAATTTTTATATTTGTAATGACTCTCATATTCAACAGGAATTGTGCTAAGTATTGCAAATATGAACTTGAATGCATTCAAAGTACGTACCTACACAGATGACTAAATGCTGTCGCTACAAAGTTGATTTGTTTGCTACCTCAGGTTATCATTGTTTGTAAGACACAGGCAAAAGACACCTATGAAAATAATCTGTGGAAAAAAAATGGAATGTAACTCAAAAAAGGCAGAAAATGCAGATGAGGCTATGAATGAAGAAGACCTCATGGTGTAATACATAGAGTAAAATCTCACATACTTTATTTCCTTCATGAAAATTTTTTATGAAGTAAAACAATCATATTCAGCCATTCTTGTGGGCTCAATAGTGTCCCCTTCCCAACTTCTTTTTTCTTGAAATTCAGGGTCTTACTCTGCTGCTCAGGCTGGATTGTAACAGTGTGATACTGTCTCACCACAACCTGAGCCTCCTGGGCTCAGGTGTTCCTCCCACCTCTGCCTCCCAGGTAGCTGTGACTACAGGTGTGTACCACCACAACCAGCTAATTTATTTTTATTTTTTATTTTTACTAGAGATGGGTTCTGCCATGTTATCCAGGCTGGTCTTGAAGTCCTAGGCTCAAGAGATCTGCCTGCCTTGGCCTCCCAAAGTGCTGGGATTACAGATGTGAGCCACTATGCCTAGCCCCCTCCCCAGATGCATACACTGAAGTCCTAATGCCTGGCAACTCAGAATGTGACTGAATTTGGAGATAGCATCTTTAAAGAGGTGATTAAGGTAAAGTTAGGTCATTAGAGTGTGCCCCAACCCCAAGTGACTGTTATTCATATAAAACAAGATTAGGATCGAGACACCAAGAGAGGAGCATGACCATGTGAATATACAAGGAGAATATAAGCATCTGTAAGACGGAGATAGAGAGGCCTTGAAAAAAACCAACACTGCCAACACCCTGATCTGGGGCTTCTAGAATTGTGAGAAAATAAATCCAGTTTGGGCCAAATAATCTGTGCTACTTTGCTATAGCAGGTCTAGCAAACTATTGTAATCACATATACAAAGAGTTGTCATTTATGTATGCCTAACTGCACTGAATCACATTACTAATAATGTACAGCTGCTAAATTTGGTACAAAATTTAAAAGAGAGCTTGGTGTTTGTAAGAATTCTTGAATAATGTATCATAGACCCTTTGTATGAGTTATTTTGCCATCCCGGAGTATAAAAGGGCAGAAGCAAGGAAAAAGCTAGTTGTTTTCTCAACTGCTTCTCTGCCACCCGTGTGGAGAACGTCATCAGCTTCTGTCTGTGTGGCCTGGGGAGATGGACTGTGCTAAGTTAGGCCACATCTGTTCTTGTTCCATGTAACTTGTTTGCTTTTATCAATTTTCATAGTTCTGATAAAGTCAGTGGTGGAATTAATAGTGCATGTGCCTATGTGTTTCGTATCAGTAGTTTCCAGCCTAAATTCTATATTAAGCAAATCATCCTTTAGCTATTTGGCAAAATATAAATGTTTCAGAAATTCTTGGTCCCTAAAGCTTTCACCTCACACATAACCTTTCTCAACTGAAACTTTTCTTAACTATTAGAGGCTGTTCTCCATGAAAGGAGAGAAAAAAATCGAGAAGAAAATATGAAATAGAGAAAACAGGGGACACTAGCAAGGGGCAAAGAAAATTCTAGAAGGGTGGTGAACAGATCCTCAGAATTACAACTGTGTTCCAGATATAACCAGTCCAGATTATAGTAATATGACTCAAGATATGACGCCACCATTGTACCTTCTTCTTTAACCTGGGGATAGAGTGCCCAAGTGAGCCCAGTCCAAATTCTTATCTGTCCTTGGCTTATTTTCTGGTGACCTTCCTATTCTACTCTCTAGATTCTTCTACCTGTTCAGCCTATGACCCAATTTCATCTCATGGAGGTGTTCTTTCTCTCCAGGAGAAATTTAGAAACAAAAACTATAGAACAACCTACTTCCCTGATTGCAGCCCTGCCAGACTTCCCAAGTATAGTGAGCCTTTTGCTTTCCAGGTCTCATAACCTTGCCCCTTGTTACCTCAGAAAGGGCTCTTGTTAACTCTCAATGAAGTCAAAGTTACATTTTATGTAGCTTACCTTTTCTTGAATTTATTCATCTAACCACGGCAGCATTGCCCACACTTGGTTTTTCAAAACAATGTATGAATGGAGGTAGGAAGATAGGATAGAAGAGGAGCTAACAGATCTTTTAAAGTGTTGGTAGGGGCCTATTTTCTTCATCTGGGTGTGGGTGCTTGAGAGTTTATTTTATTAGTGTTATTAGTTTGAGTACATTTTATTAGTATTCTTTAAACTAGGAGTCAGCAAACTTTTGGTAAAGGGTCAGATAGCAAATACTAGCAGCTTTGCAGTCTATAAGGTCCCTGTCCCAACTAAACCCTACCACGTGTCACAAAAGCAGCTATGAGTACTGTAGACTACTTGATGGGATTGTTTTCAAATAAAACTTTATTTAAAAGACTAGGCTAAAATCAGGCTAGATTTGGCCCATGAGTTGCAATTTGCAGGCCCTTCCAAATTGCACATACTTGTTTTACATATTCTTATAAATGTGTGATCCATTTTAAAAACTATGTAAACCAGCAAAGAAACTCTGCCAGAAAGACCAAGATGCCAATATTCATTCCACAGTAAATTCTAAAATGCTTTTTTGGCCCCTTTCTTTTTCTACAGGCTTCTTTCCTCTCTTTCCTATTTTAGTTTGGTCTGTTGTCATGTGGCCTTTCTATCTTCATGATTTCAGACCTATGCCCTATTATAGGATGGACATTGAATTGGAAATCAGTAAAACCAGACTCTATGCCACATCTCTACCACTGACTAGTAAATAGTTAAGTGAAAATGCCTTTCCTTCTTCGGGCCTCAGTTTCTCCCTAGGTAAAATGAGTTAGGCCAAGTGGTTTCAGAGGCCATTTATAACCCAAATAGTCTGTTATTTCAAATGTCTTACTATGATTCACTTTCAGATATTGACTCACACACTTCTTTCTTGACTTCCCCCAAAAAAGAGTAGTTCAAGTTACACACGAACATTGTCTTGGAATAGTTCCATCTAAGTTTTCTAGCTTAGAGGATTAATATGCCAATCAACATTTTAGTATTATTAGTTTGAGTACATTTGATTATTCAAACAAGTAATAATACTGTAAAACATGTAAAAACCTGAAACTTTACTATTTTGTCATTCAAAACCTGAGTAGTATTTATATATAATTAACATTAACTGTTATTAACAAGGAAGAATACTGTAAAACATGCAAAAATGTACTGAAACATCTCAGTACTCTGGTTTGTCATGAAGCCAGTACTTTTTAATTGCACAAATAATAGTAATTGTACTGTCTTCAGTGAAGAATTATAAAAGCTATCGAGTCTGTCATAATACTGTAAAGGTTTTGGTTGCAGGATAAATGAAAGGCTTTTCAAGTAATCTTTATAGAAATAAAATTTTTAGGTGTTCATATGTCTTGTGGTGCATATATTTTCACAAAGGTTGTTAACTGTCAAATACAATTTTATTTTGATAGGCTTGGGTTTACAGATGAGTTTTAGAAATGAGAAAATAAAGCCTATAGTTCATTGGTAGAGGGCTGGACCTAACCCAAGGAAGAGTGAGTGGTCCTTGATAATGACTCATCTCTAAAGATGAAGACATGCTGACCAGGCTACATGGGCGGTGGCATGGAGGCTACACATTTAAAATAAAATGTAGAACACTCTTATTTAAGGGAGCAATGATAATCAAGTTTTTCTTCTAATAAATGAAAATAAAAATATATCAAATGAGAAGATCAACTGTAATTTGGTTTCTATGCTTTTTATCCTGAGTGATTATCTTCGTAAAGAAAATCCTGATGTATTCATTTCCTTGCATATGCGTCAATTGACTTCCCTTTCTCGGTTCCAACAAATATACAGAAAATAAGTGTTGATTCACATACACTTTAAGTAGTACTTATGGGAGCAACACTAGGAAAGTTAAGGTATTTTCAGAAAAGAAAAGCAGTTCATCCCAGTGAGCTGGATTTTCTTTTTTTTTTTAGAAAATATGAGTTGCCTAGGGAGATTGCAGATATTATGCCCTTTTACTTCCTGTTTGCTCACTGTCCCTCTATGATCTTCCAACAAGCCTGGAAAAGAACCTTGCACGTGGCAGGTGCTAGATGAAGATTCACTGACCTGAATTTTCTTAAGATAGGCCTTGTTTCTTCAGAGAAGCATCGCCTCAACTTGACTAACAGTCATGAAACAAGTTTAAAAAAAGTGCATGCCTGCCTAGGTCAGGACTTAATTCTAACCTCTGTTTGAGCCTGGCTATTCAATTTTATTCGAATAATTATAAAGCTCCAACTCTGTCAGGAGTGAGGAGAGAGTGAAGCGCCAGGTTTTGAAGTTGTAAGAGAAATATTCCCATTCTATTTTATTCTACTCCAATATTCCAAGTATTCTCCCAGATACTGCATTCTCTTCTCTAGAAGCAGACACAGTCAGCAATTTCTTATGTATCTTCCAAGAGAATTATTTGTTCATATAGCCTTTTACCCATTTTGCTATTGAATCACTGATATTTTCCTATGGATTTAAAGTTTATATTCATATATTAGACTTACTTAATTATCGAATGTATAATGTAAGACAGACATTGTGCTAGGCACTGATTGTTGATTACTCTTCAAAATAACATCGAAAAACGATGCTTTCTTTTCTCTTTATTTATGAATTTTGTGAATCTCAGAATTGGTACAAGCCTTACCAAGGTGATCCTACAAATAGTAATAGGACAGGGGTGAAATATAAGTCTTTTGCTCCAAACTCAATATATTTCTATCATACCATACTGCTGTAAAAACCCCTATTGCTAGATGTAATTTAAAAGCAGCTCATATATTTGGCTATTCACCTACTCTCAAACTTGAGAATTCTCTGCAAATATTTACCAGTATTAACCCTCCTCATTTCTCAGCCATTCCTGTTTAAATAGTGAGAAGACTAACACTCTCGTCCCTCAATCAGACCTGAGACTCATGATCCAGAGGACAAGGTAGGCAATAGGCTTTTTTTACTTTGGAACGAGTTACTTATTTTCTCTAAGATTTGGTTTTTTAAAAAATTTCTATAATCCGTTTAACAAAATCACCACTATCACATGGGTACTGTGTATGTTGACACTTCTGGTTTCTGTATATAAATCTGGTTTGACTGCTGGCTCTACCTAAATGTAGGCCACACCTTTCCTCATTTGTTTATTGATTGATTCACTCACTGAACATTTATTAAGCATTTACTTTATGTCAGGCAATGGCATGAAGGATTCAGCTGTGAACGAGACTGACACAGCTTTTGCCCTTACAGACGTATAGCCTGCAGAGGTAGATAGGCATGAATCAAGCAATTTCAATGACATATGACAGCTGTTATGATAGGGCAGGAGATGATGCTTGGGACTAGTCTGGCGGTCCAGAAAGACTACTTAGAAGAAGTGATCTGTAAGTTAGTTGAGAAGTTGAGGATGAATGGAAGTTACTAGACAAAAGGGGTAGAAAGTGGGGTCAGGTTAAATATGGTACTTGATATATATGTAGAACTGTGAATGGTGACAAATAACTGCCATCTTCAGCTCTTTCTTCCCCACTTCTTTAGGCCCAAATTTAGCAAAGCACAGCAGCCAAACATTCTTTTCAGCCATGGAACCTTAAGTCATTCAAGCCTATCAACCCCTGGTGTTGTACTTGACCACAGTGGATAAAGTGTAAAGATCAGTGACTGCAGGAAGAAGGTCCTTCCCTTATTGAGAAAGGCTCACCTTTAGCTACATCCATTTAGAGTTTTACACAACTTATATTCACTACATTCTTGTATATTGTTAAAGCCCTCTGCATCTCTTGGATGTTTAAAGGCTTTGCAACCAGTTTGAAGACAACTGTAGACAGGATGGAGATGTGGGCTAACAGTTGAACCATCTGCTAAAAATGGTACCATTTCTCCTGAAATTTTTGATCTGTGTGTATGTGGATAGTGTAGATAAGATGTTAAAAAATCTTTTGATCTCTCTTCTTTGAGTCAGTATTCATTTATTGTAACCTTCATACTTCTGTTTGCTTTTCCTTTTTTTTTTTCCAACTCAAATTTTATCTATGCCCCTAGAAGCAAAAGAGACTAATGTTGACTACAAGGGTAGCCTAGTCAGCAACCAGTATCTTGTCTTGTTAGTGATTTTCCAGAAGCTTAAAACAGCACTGTATGTGTTCTGGGAGCTGACAATGGTTTTAAAAGAAAATAATAAATTGTTTCTGAAATTTTTAAATAGTCTTGAAAAACATCTTTGTTGGTTAAACTGTTAGCCAGGCTTCCTAGATAATTGGTGTGTGTTTTCTCCTTCTGTTGTTTTGTCAGTTGGGTACTTTTCATCTGTAGCTTAATGAGCCTGTGGTGCCTTCATTATGTAGGTCACCCTTCGCACAAAAAGGAATTTATTGATTCTCTGTCCCCTTTGGCTTTTTTCTCAGTAGCTGTGCATTCGTTCTCTTATTCAGTTGTTCATCAAATATTTTTTGGCTCTGTGGAGGTACTGGGAGGCTCCAAGAAGACAAAGACATAGATAGTCCTGTGCCTAAAGGAATCAAAGGAAAAGACACATAGAAACTTAGAACTCATGAGGCAGTGTGGTAAATGGTGCAACAGTGATGCGCATAAATTGCTATGCAAATACAGTTGAGGGATAGTCTTTCAAGATGTCAACAGTCCCTACAGGGGATGAGAAGGTTTGACTCACATTCATTAAGTCACATTGTCTAAGATTTTTAAATAATTCGTGACTGACGGTTGCAGCTCATCTAGAAAGAATATGACCTTTGAGAATTAAAATTGTATTTTGATGGATCCTGTACCCTAAATTCATAGCCATAAGAAATGACTATGATTTTCGACTCTGATCCACCAGCAAAATCTCAGTAACTGGGACACCCTCTCCCTACCTCCTTACTTTCCTTCTCATTCATGAAGTGCCTAAGTGTAACCTGCATCTACAACTTCTCTACTGTTTTGGATGGATTTAGTATAATTTGAGTAATTTTAGGTTTTATCTTTGTTTACTTTCTCCTTTTTGGTTCATTTTGTTTTTCTACTTTGTTAGCTGAATACTTAGTTCATTTTTATATATAGTACTTCTTTAATAATGAAATGTTTTACCTTTGTACATTTTCCTGAATACAGCTTTAGTTATAATCCTGTATGTTTTCATATGAGGTATTTTAATTTGTGTTAAATTATAGAAAATACATAACTTCAATTTTTTTCCTTAAATTTGGTGTTTATCAGAGTGTTCCTTAATTTCTAGGTGGTGAAGTTATGGGGCAATCTTTGAGCTGTTAACTTCTATTTTATTTTTATTGGATTGTTGTCAGACATGTGAAATACATTATATTTAAATGTGTCATATGAAGTACATATTTACATTATGTAAATTTGTTATGTGATTTTTTTAAATTTAAGAGTCTAATTAGGTTTTATTGCGGCCAGATATATGATCAATTTTTATTAATATTCCAATGAAATACGTTGTTGGCATTTGTAGGGTACAAAGGTGTGTCTCTCTGTGTGTGTGTGTGTCTGCATGTGTGTGTATTTGTTACATTGAGTGTTGAAATTATACTATTCAAATACTCTATGGGTTTTGTGGCATGGCCTCTTAACCCACCAATGAGCCAACATTTCTTTTTGTTTTCTGTGTCTTCATAGATGTTTTTGCTTAATGTATTCATGTAATGTTATACTGTCTGTTTCAGAATGATTTAGACTTGTTTCATTAATCTTTGTAGGTTGCGGCTTTTACCATCACAAAATTTCTCTGTCCCTTTTAATATTTTATTTTTTAATTAATATGTATATTATTTTTTATTTGCATTTGCCTGATACAACTTATTACATCCTTTTATTTATTTTATTTCTCTTTAAAATATTAAGTTTTTGAGGTAACTGGAACAGAGTTTAGCTAGATACTCACCTACCCTGGCTTCTCTTCCTTGGGTCAGCAGCTAAATAACATTTTCCAGTTCTCTTGCATCAAGATGGGGCCGTGGGACTGATCTAATCAATAAAATGTTGGATAGAAGTGATGTGTATCACTTAAGTGTTATCCCTAAAGGGTCCCCCATGATCTTCTGTGTTCCCTTTCTCTGTCTTTGCTCATGGGCTGACTAATCTTGGAGGATTC